ACATCATTATCACCTAGTTCATGTATAAACCATTTCTGATATTAAAGATTGTCACCCATGCTTTTACTGATCTAATTTTCAAAAGAACTTGAACTTCATATTTTGCCGCATCTGCTGAAATAAATCGTGATTTCAGTGAACCTAAACAGTATAAAGATCCTACAAAGACCCGTATTCCCGAGAGATTGGGATCAGAAGGAACAGTTTCATGATATCATGTCTAAACACAAAATAACATGGCATGACCCCGCTGCTTGTTGCAACTTCAAATCCACTGGCATCAAGAAAACTTAACTACACGATTCAACAGCAATAGAATACCTCAAGAATCATATCGACTTATCGAGTAAGAGCGAAATATTCAGTAGTAGCGAACATAAGAGATGAAGAGCAGCCCGAAATCTCACCTTCAGGTGTACCTCCCCAAATGGCTTCCACTGGTTTGCAGCCCCCCAACCCACGAAACTACCGCTCTCCCACTGCTGCTCTTTCCTCACCCGTCTCAGCGACTCCTCGCCGATGACCCTCACCCCAGCCTTGCACGCTGCGGGCCCCACCGATACCCTATCCGGCCCATGAACCTTGTAGTACGACAGCACCCCGTCCTGCAGCACGAACCACCGCGAACGCCACCCTTTCCCGTAGTTCACCCACTTCCAAAGAACCCCCGCCACCGCCCCATTCCCACTGCCACTCTTGGCATCCCCACCCTCCGCTAACCCGGCCGCAGCTGCAGCCTCATCCGCCGCTTCGCGGCGCGCGGCGGCATCCGAGTCCGAGGGTATCGTTGGTGCCTGGATCAGCTTCTTGCTGGACAAGCTCCTGGAGGGGCTCTCGGCCCCCAGCGGGGGCTTCGCCGCCTTGAGCGTCCCCACCTGGGAGGGGTCCCCGCGGTCGCCCCGCTCCAGCGACACGGGCGCAATGCAGCACAGAGGATTCATCTTCCAGGGGGTTGCGATCTCCAGAAGTTCCACACCAAGGAGAACGATCAAGCAGAAGAGATCAAGCGACGATGAGATCTCGCCGAATCCAAATCGGCGGAGAGGGGCTGCGATCGGAGGGCCGCCATTTCAGGGATCGGCGGAGCGACATGAGAGCGCCGCATCCAGATCTGAAGAAGAAGAAGAAGGGGAGAGAGAGAGAGAGAGAGAGAGAGGGTTGGGTTGTGCTAATAAAGAATATTAATGGGCGGAGGAGTTGTTAAGAGAGGAACAGAAGAGGGCAGAGGAGGAAGGCAAGTAAGCGGAGGCGCGGCAGATCTATTAAATTCGCTGAACGGGCGCAGCAGAAACGGCGGCAGCTGCAGCACCAGCGGTGGGCAGGGCAGCAGGCAGACTAGTAGAGAAGTAGGGAGGGAGGGAGGGAGGGAGAGGAGAGGATGAAAGAGACCGGATGGGCCTCCCACGGATCGCCCGTTTGCTCCACCTCTACGCCACATCTTACAATGGCGTCACTTGGCTGCCAAGTGGCCGTGCCGGTGATCCGCAGATGGGTAGGAAAACGGGTAGACCGGAGTTAGTGAAGTCATCTCTCGCTGGGCGCTCGCCGAAGACCGCGGTGGGTCCCCTTGGCTCCTTCAGTGATCGCACTGGTAAAGGAGGTGGTAAGGAACGGACGGAGACGGGCCACGGGGTTCTCTCCCATTCACCGCGATGGCATATCAAGGCGTCGACGACGGGTGGAACGGAGAAATCGCTTGTGGTGATCCGTGTGGAGCTTACGTTGGTGCACGTTTGGGCTGGGTGGTGGTGAGGAGTAATAGAAATTGGATGTCTCTTTTATTGAGGGAATATATTTGAAGGCAAATGCTTGAGCTGGGAAACCTTCGGAAGAGAGCATGAGCATTGAAGGGGGAGGGGTTGGCTTGGTGATCTCTTTTCTTTCACTTTATGACTTTTTGTTTGGCATATGTTATCATCCCATCTTCTTTTTGGTGATTTATGGCTAATGTGACTACAATCATAAATGAAAATGGGGCCATGGATATGATCGACTATATTATCATAAATAAAAAGAGATTCGATTTTTCTAGTGTCAAGTTCTTTATCGACTAAGATAGGTAATATCTATTATATTTTAAAAATAGATATGATATATGATATTATCATGAACGAATAATTCATGAATTTAGTCACAGTCGTAATGTTTTGGAAGAGAGTTTATGCCTCACGCACATCAACCATTCAAATAAATACAAAGCATTAGCACAAGGTTTAAGAATTCTTTTGGATTCCAAACAAAAAATATTCACTTATTTTCTACTAAAAATAAAAATATGAATTACCAAGAAAAATTCTTCATTTGGGTTTTCTTGATAAGCGCTTGTCTGTGTTTCGGATTTCTCAAATGGCATTCCCAATTTTGACTTAATTCTTAAAATACTCGAGGAGTATCTAATTATACCTCATAAATCGTTTGTTGAATAAGTCTAATTAATTAGATATAAGTTTTTTAATAAATAATATTTTAAAAATATATAACGTATATTTAAAAATATTATAGTCGACATATAATTCTATTTAAAATTTTATTTTTATATTAGTTAGTTTTTGTTGAGGGAAATATTTGTTGACGTCCGGATGTGGTTCAAACCTATATATATATATAGGATTATCCAAAGTTCTTTTGAAAGAGAAACATTAAGCTATCTAGATGCCATCTACATGAAGATTGAGATTGGAAAATGTTTTTTGACCCGATCTCTCTGATGTCCCCAAAATATATGAGTATGGACATGAGTGATCAAAAAATACTTTTATTTTTATTATAATGAAAATAAGCTTTTATATGTGATCGTAAAGGGATAGAATATTTCTAGAATATTCTATGAGGAGACAGCCTCTAATTATTTTTAACAATCTCCCCTTGGGAGCAACCCATAATAACTTGCCTTAGACCCTAGATATGTGAATGATGCTCTTTGTCTACTCCTTCTACCCTAAATATTATATGATGGTCATGTGTTAGATGAAGATTGATTAATGATATACTTCTAACATTTGTCCCCCTCCTTTCTATCAAGGCGTGCTTTGAGATTTTTTTCGAGAGGAGTCTAAAGTGCAACATCTAGTTCATACAACATGTTAAGCCTATACCTCTTTAATCTATCGCTTATTTGGTGGCACGTTTAGTTCGTTCGACACGTTTCATTCATCGTGCCCGAGCACTGTTGGTGACGATCTCTCATCGATCTACCTTTAGTATCATCGAGGGATGCACATTGGTTTGACAAGGTCGAATTTCCTAACCTACCAATCTCTTCTCGACCTAATTGAGTTTGCCAACCTCCACGGCTCAAGCGAAAGAGGGGGTCAAGTTTTTCCAACCTCCATGACTTAAACGAAGACGGGGGTCAAGTTTCCCAACCTTATTGTCTCGGGTGAAAACGAGAGTCGGGTTTCCTAACCTCCATGCATCGAGTAAAGACAGGAGTCGGATTTTTCAACCTCCCCATCTTTGGTGAAGGTAGGGGTCAGACTTCCTGACCTCCATGCCTCTACGAAGCTGAGGGTTAGGTTTCTCGACTTTCTCATTTTGGACGTAAGCAGGGTCAATCTTCTTGTCTTCTACGCCTGAAGTGTAGGTGAAAGTTGAGTTTCTTTTAATTCATTATTTTAATGAATTAAGAAAAAAGTATAAATATTTTGTAATATTGCAATTGCAAAATGCAACTTATACTTATTAGCATATGCTTAACCATTTTAAATCAACTATTCATATTTAATTTTGATCCTTATTAAGTATATAAGAGATTTTCATCTTTTTTAATAACTCAATATTGGGAATGCCATTATTAATGAATTATCAATTAAAATAATTTTATAAATAAAAAAAAATTCATCTAAAATGAATTATCAAATAAAACCTCCAATTTCCCTCAAACTCTCAATTGTTCTCTTTTTTTTCATCAAGGAAACTATGGCAAATAGAATCGAGTTTGACGAGAGGTCTGACCGACGGCGTCCACGGTCAAGTCAACGTCAAACTGCGACTCCCTACCCGTAAACAGTATCTCAACGATTCATAAGAACGAACGTAACAGTTAATGGGTGGAGACACCAAACAGCAACGAGGAAATTGTCGGCATTTTATATGCGATGCTGCAGCAAACCAAACAGCAGATCCTGAGGCACCAAGCAAACCAAACAGCAGATCCGAAGCCGTGAGCACAGAGCAAACACGTGGCAATCCTTGAAAGCTTTCCCCTCCCAGATCGCGGGATCCGCTGCCCTGCGGGCGCCACCTGTCTCTGGATGCGTTGTGGAATTTTACCCGTGATCCTGAAGGAAACCAAGCAGCAGATCCGGAGGCGCGAGCACCCGGCAACAACGTGGCTGCGTTACAAAGCGCTCCCCTGCCAGATGGCGGTATCCGCTGCGCTGGTCGCGCCACCTGTCTTTGTGTGCGTCGTGGAATTTTACGTGTGATTCTGCAGCAAACTAAACAGGAGATCCGGAGTCCACAAGCACGCGGCAGCGACAGCCGCCAAACACTGCTCTTCTTCTTCAAAATCGCGGGATCCGCTACGGCGTTGCTTCAAGGCGAGCCACCCGCTCCCAATCTGACACGCGGACCTTGCTTCGTCGTCGTCGTCGTCACTAGCATCGCCGCCGAATCGCGCCGGTGGAAACTCTTCTCTGGTCCCCCATTGGGCGCTGCTTCCCGGCCCGCAGTGGTCATCGTCAGCGGCACCGAGTATGGGCGACATCAAATTGGTTGTATGGGAGTCGTTTGATGATAGAATACATGTTCTGCGCATATGGATGAGTCTACTATAGCTGCAGACTGACGCATTGTATCACCGAACAAAGAGAAACATGGCGACAACCCAAAACATCAGATATCTAACTATAAGTTCCAGCAGCGTTCCACATCAATGCAACTCTCATATGCAGATTGTAATAGAAACATAAGTTATGAAACTAATGACTTCATTTCCCCCCAAAAAGAAAAGGCTTCCGTGTTGCTCAAGTGATTTGTCATGCTGGATCCCAGTAACATCCATTAAATTGGGTCTACATGAAATCAAATATTGTCTGGTTTTCTTCTTTCAGACACTCTGTAGACTGAGAAAGGAAAAAATAATGGAAGAAATGAAGGCAGTTGTGAAGTTATCGAATGGCCATAAATAGAGGAAGCAATTCCTGCATCGACGATAAGCAGCATCAGCATTATCCATCAGAAAATGGAAAAAGAATCTTCTTCTCATATGTGAAGCTAATTGCAATAGAACTTATGGGGCTCTGTCAAAGGGGGAAGTGTCATTGTAGCAGATGTCCCAGACAGCCTCAATGGCATCTTTTGCAGCTACAGCTGAGCAATATGGATTGTTCTGAACCGACTTTAGAGCACGCCTTCGCACACATTCCTTTGTGTCCCCAATAAATATGAGACAAAATATTGCAATTAGTGTAGCCATTATTTGATTAATACAACGCTGACAGTATTAACAAGGACAGAGTAGAAAAATCATCAGACAACATAGTTGATTAATTCATGGAGCATGGTAACAATTTCTCATGTGTATTAAATAGCATATGAAGAGGACAAAAGAAAAAGAGAGAAAGAGTTGGTTTGCATAACTAGAAGTTAAAGAAATTTGGCATCACTACAGGAGCAGCCAACTCTGTTAAGCTTTTGCAACCTACAACTGATTTCACATCCCAAGAAAGCTTGTTCATTCTCTTATACAACTTTTTAGTTAAATATAATGATAACAAAACTGATCAAATAGATTTTTCCTGACCTTTTGCAAATATTTCTTCAACCAAGATCTTGCCATCCAACAGTAAATATATAAAGAAACAATCGGGTCAAGTTGAACATATGTCCAATGCATAAGCTGCATTGGTGTAAATTCTGCTTTCAGATTCGATGTTATTTTTGTCCACACAGGTGGCACTTCCTAAGTCCATCCAGACTGACATTTATAAGGTTTTGGTTAAATGTTGCAAGTTCTTATCACAAAGGTTTGAGGACTCGATCTACATGACCATAAAGACCCATTTATTATATGTAGGATGCACGATTTGCAGCATAAAAAACCATCAAGTTATCATGAACAAGCCTATCACCTATTAAGAAACCATAAGAAACCAGAGGTCACGAAATCCTAAGCTGAAGATGTGGTTGATGTCCAACAACCTCATAGAACCAACTTCTTTACATGATATCCATGCTTTATTGGCTGCTATCAGTCTCTTATCACTACTGATTTCTGTGTGTCAGAATGCATTCATTCATTGAAATCATAAGTGCTCTAATTTTATCAGATATTCACCCTCAATAGAGTTAGTTTCTTAATATTGAGTTAGATATTCACTAAAATCACCAGCAATAGATATTCACCCTCAATGAAATCAGCATGATGACTTTATTTCTTTATTTCTACAAGTCCTAATTTTGGTGGTCTAATATGTTCTCTCTAGACTCATCCAGAAAAACCCCACTCCTAAAGCTTAGTTCTTCATTTAGTTCACTCTAAGAAACAAAACCCAGTCAGAATAAATACTTTCAAAATAAAGGACAAATTTCAGATTTTTTGCATCTGTCATGGTCATGATAATAATAATTGAACTATTGATCATATCTTAAGTCATTATCATTATGCAAGAATACAGAAAGAAAGTGTGTGTGCAGGGTCTTCAAAACTTTTTCACATCTAAATTGGCAGGAGAAAGAGGTGGACTAGAAATTGTTGGGACAGTACCTTTATGGACATTTAGAGAAAAGAATGAAATACGAGAACATTCAATGGAGTACCAAGGATTCTTGTACTTTGATTGGAGAGGTCACCAACAATTTCTCCCCTCAAAGAAGTCAATCTTCTACTAGTGACTAAACTTCTGAAAAGCTCTTTACACAAGCTATTTTGTCATCCTGATGAAGCTAGGGGCGATATCAAATGATGTATAAGACTTTGCATATATATTATTTTATTTATTTTTTCCTTTCTTTTTTTCTTCTATGTTTGCTCACTAACTAAATGAGATAAGTCAGCAACATTTTTTACTTTACCCAAGAAAATCCCTATAAGCAACTTTTGACATGACCATAGATAAATAATCACAAATCCAAAGTAAAAATAGTTTGTAGGGCTCTTACTAAGCCATATAGCTACAAAATCCAATATCTGCATAAAGTTCATATTGAGTTCCAAATGATTGATAGAGATGAAGTAATGGTAGTTCTTGTACTCAGCCAACTGTTATTTTAAAGTTTTTACAAATTTCAAATTACAACCAATCAATACAAAATTGCAAAAAAAAGAAAGCATTAAAATCATAACTTATAGATGTATGAAGAAAATAAGAATAAGAAAAAAAGGCTCTTGACAAAAAGATTTGGCCAAAGATACTTCTAGCAGCAGGTCACAGCAGGAATCAAGACACATCATAAGGAAAAATCTTCAGAAATAGATAATAATAAGTAAAAAATTGAAAAGTGGATTACAAAAGATCATGTTAAAAATTATATCAATGTAGTTTTCCAGTGACAATCAGGAAATAGATGTCTCCATGTATATTCATATGTACCTAAATCAACATATGCTGAATGATGCTGATCTTGACAAATTTCATAATAAATACCAAGGTCCATGTCCCTAATTCTCACTTGCATATTCTCCATACTGTGGTTTCAAAAGGGATATTATGGTGCTTGTTCAAGTTTCATTTCACAAAATGATGATGATGATGTTAGGTTGAGCAGATATCCTAACAAAGGAAAAAAGTGAAACTGTGTATGATTCAAGTATCACGATGACATTGAATAGGTTCACAATACTATACTCTAATAAATCATCTTGAAGTGATTGCAGTCAAACAAAATTTTGGTTAAATATCAGTGACTGTTCTTGGAGAAGTATGCATCTCTAGCGTAATCTCTCCACAATGATGTGAAGGTCAGTGCAGGGCAGGCAACAACTTTCAATAAACCATGTGTAAAATTCAATTAGTGTGCCCCGCTCTGCATTGAGAACTAGAACACATTCATATATATCTAAATATATCTCACAAAACAACATATACAAGTTTATGCTAGTCCTTGTTACATTAAATAGAAAAGCTGAACAATAGATTTTCCAAGTTCTAACATAAACTCACTTGTCCATGGCCTCGTATTTTCAAAAACCCACGTAGCAGTTCTCGCTTGTAATGGCAATCCCCACTCAGATGATTAGCCCGAATCTAGAAGAACAAGTCAGAGTATTCATTCACTTTCAAGAAAAAACAATCTTGTGAATGCTACTGAAAACTTTGATGCATAAGCTCTGGATCAAAGACTATAAGAAACAGTTCTCTGACATTCCAATGCCCAGCAACAGACTGAAAGGTCAACACTACATAAATGTCTACCAGCAAGTATTAAAGCCTCCTAGTAATACTGTACCTCAGAGCAAGCATGATGGGCACAATTTGTCCACTCCATGTTTTTTGCTCGGCAATCGTCATAAGCGTGGATTAACTCATGAATAATAACTTGATTTATCTCATCTTGAAAAGTCATATGATTACAACAAATTGTTATCTGAAATACAAAAATTAGTAAAGTTGAATTAGACTCAGATGGTCTATCTTATACATCAACAAATACAAAGGCTAATTAAATCAAACAACTCGCTAAGACTTCTTATATTATCTGAACACAAAGTTGCAGAACAAATTTATCAGCAATAATTGCAACTGTATTCTCTTTTGTGCTATTCATTTGAGAGATTACAGGGTGCAGTGGAACAATGTAAACTGCAATGTGCATGAGTATCCAATTCTAAAAAGTCACCAAATTCAACCAAGACAATTCTTGACCCACAGATAGAACAAGCCACAATGTACCTTTGTCTATGGTATATTTCTGAAATTTGCAGAAGACATGAAGAAAAAGCTCTACAAATCAAATCCCAAAAATCAATTGGCAATTCTGAACTCTCCACAGGGAAACATACTAGATTTGGCAAATGATGTAAGACCCACAAAGAGGCAAACCAGGACCAAAGAAATACAAGAAACTCTCCAAGTATAAAAATGGAGCAGGCAGATAAAAGTTTGCTAGGTTAGGCAAACCATTTAGATGAAAGTCATTACACAGATCTAAGAAGTCCTACCCTGCTCCTTCCAACATTGAAGCAAGAGTTATGCATAACAATTTAATATAATTATTACACATTTTGGTTTTTAGTTTGTAAATAAAAAGTAAATGAGTTTTCTTTATAGAATTTTGTGATGCAGTTGTCATCTCAAATTCTGGATGTTCAACTGTAGGTAGCTCTGGGACCAGATAAATTCTAACTATTATAAACAACCTAAGAACATTTTGTTCCATGTTCCACATGCTTGCAGTTAATCTGGCCTTCACTACGATTTTGCATTAAGCTGGATGGTTGGTAACGCATTGGCAGCAGTCTTGGAAGTTGACCATTAACAATTTAATTGATGGTTTTGGCGAGAGGCTACTACTATATTTTTATCCATACTTCCATATAATAAAAAAACCTGTAACAAATGTCACGTAAGCTATAATATTACACTAGCAAGTGCCAAAAGATCACTTAGATAAAAGTTCTAAATTTTTTTCAAGGAGATTAAAAATTTTGTATTGGCATCTTTTCTCCCCAAATACTTTCCCTCATAGATATTATGACATGCTTCCTTCAGTTTAGTGATTGTTCTTCCCCTGTTGGTCTTCCGATCATTGGTCTTTTATGTCGTGTTCTAGAAATTCTATACACCTGATGGCCTAATCATGTTCTACAGGTTTGTTAATTCCTGGATGATATTTCACATCTACCTGAAATACAGTTCCATTCAAATTACTACTTGATCGCTCTAGGAGTCAGCCCATGTGGAATTGTGCATATCCTTCATTTGCTACTAAGACATAAAACCTCAAAGGTGCATGAGAAGAGAATATGTTACTCTAATTAAATTTGGAGCATTATTCCCTTCTCAAACTTCAATGCTTTAGGATTCTAATCATGTAAAGAACAACAGGTGGTGGTTCCCAACTTATTCAGCACAATGTACCCCTTGGGCTGATATCACTATCAACTACTAATAGTTGCTGATCACTGAAAGCCTTTGTGCTGACTTTCCCTTGTGAAACGCTAATAGAAGAAAGGTCAATGGTGATACAACTAAAAATTAAAAAAGCTGCACCTCAAGTTGTTAGTCCCTCATGATTTGGTTGGTTCTTAAGTATTATGTTCTTTCATTCCAAGATTTATGTTCTAAAAAAAAAGTAACAAGACTCGAACTACACACACTAATAACTTAAACCAAAAAGAGGACTGAGCAGATCTTGTGTGAAAAAGGAGAGATAAAATTCGAAGCTTTCATCTACTACTACAATGGACCATCGACAAAATGTTCTCCTTGGGCACATTTAAACTGTGATGAAAATTTTCTAACCATGACTGGGAATGATTAAAGAGCCAATCGACCAAAAAGACTAAATCTTGATGTTGAACCTGACTATATTATTCAAGACTAGCATCTAAAGCTTAAAAACACGAATTGAGCATGCGATGTACTGAAGTCCAATTCATATTTAAAAGCAAAGCAATAGCACGTAATCAAATGTCAATAATTCCACTTGTTGAGAAGCGACACTGTCCAACAACAAAGCAGAATCACTTTCTATCAAGAAGCAATACCACATGTTGTCCAAGAGTACGAGAAAGAAGACAACAGAGAAGGGTCAAGTTCTATATCAAATTAAAGATACCCCACGGCCACTGGCGTAGCCACCGGCGGAACTCTGGCCTTTGCAGGTGATCGCCGTGAGCAGGCGCGGCCACACGGGGCAACCGGCGTTCTCCATCTTCTCCCTTAGGAACTTCACCGTGGGATCTGATACAACATCCACAGACATTACCAAAAGGTTGAAGTGTAATCACGGATTGGAATTCTCCGTAGCGGAGTGTAAGAAACGAACGTGCGAGGCTCTTGTTGATGCCATCGACGCACTCCTTGTGGGACATGCCGCCACCACCGCCGGCTGCAGCAGCCGCGCCCTCCGCGGCCCCGTCCATCGGCAACGCCTCACCCCCGATATCTTCGCTCCTTCTTGGCGGCGACGAAGAAATCGTTCGACCAGAGCTCTCGGCCTTTCTCAAGCTGCTTCCATCTTGGCCGTCCGTTTCATCGTCGCGAGTCCCATCGTAAAGCGGGTGCGGGTCGGCCACTTCCGCCCGATGACGTTTACGACTCGTTTACCCGTTTAGCCGCATGAAAAAGATCAAAAAAGGGAAATCTAAAATAAAAAGAAGAAAATTGAAAGCCAAATCATGGCTTCTCGTGTCCGAAATTACTATTGAGCACAAACGTCACGAAGCATAACGAATCATAACGACGGTCGAGATAAAAGAATCGAGCCGCACGGAAGGTCCAGATTAATTAATCTTCTAACTTCTTTATGTTGAGGCACCATTTGGGACGCGAGAACCCGCAACGATCTCCTCAATGGTGTCGGAGTCGGTCATTCCGCCGTTGACGACGCGAGTCTTTAACCCAACCCTAATAACTTCCACTTACCCGTTTGTCGAAGTATAAAGCCGTCACGTCGCAGTCCACCACCTGCACGAGGGAAGGGGCCCAACATCTCCGCCGGGAAGGCCGTCGCCGGGATCCTCCGCACATCGCTTGGCCCCATGGGCATGGACAAGATGCTCCAGATCCCCGACGGCGACGTCGTCATCAGTCAGTATGCGCCCCCATCTTTCTATCCATTGCCTCTGCTTAAATATTGTTTTTGCCTGCTGATCTTGGCGACGATTAGTGAAAAAAAACCCTATTTTTCTTCACCTTGTCTTTATTTTTTGGTTTGAGGATTGGTTTGATGACAATGGATGTGAAAAATTAAATACTGGTACAATTGGTACAACAGAATACTAGTACACATTGGGATTGCTATAGCATGGTTAGTATAGTGTTTGAAACCATGCAAAATATTTTAGGTATTAAATGCTTCAGGCCTAACTTGATAATCTTTTAGGTATCAGTTATGAAAGTTTATTTTGTAACTTTCATTTTCATAGCATCTGCATTGCAAACACTAGATAGCCATGCAGCCATAAGTTTAGATGTTTTGAGTGTTAATGCTCTAAATTTAAGCATAACAATGTTATTTTTATGAACTGTGATGATTTATATCTTGGTCATATCTAGCAATATTAAGAAGTAAGAACATCCTCCTACCCAAAGTAGGTGTTTAGATGATTCAGCATGCTGCGACAATGATAGGTAGTGTTGGATTACCACCCATTATAGGGGAAATTTACTGTCAACTTCTCAGCCATCAACCTTGTCAATGCACATCTGGCATATTTCCCATTAGCAATATTATTTTAGGCACACATGATGATTAACTGTTCATGTCTAATCTCTTACATTTCTCATGGCTTACTCCTTGTTGAAACGGACTTTCTCTGTGAGCATTTGCAGATGGTATAGTCAGTTGGCCTTTACAATTGGCAGATAATTGTATCCTTTAAGTTTACTCAGAATATTTCATGTTTAATGTAAGATTGAACAATGAATATTTGTTGTCTGAACTTTCTTTCCCATGGTTGGTGCAGGAAAATAATCCATGTTGCTGCATAGATTGCAATGATGTTGGGACAAATAACATGAAAGAGCAGAATGTGTTTGAAACACTGATTGGCAAACAACGACAGATCTTGCTTGCAACACAAGTTGTGAAAATGATTTTGAAGATTGATGATGTGATCACTCCGTCTGACTATCGATTTTGGTGGCTGAGGTTGTGAGCTAGGACATAAACTATCAGAATTCGCCATTGCTAAGTGGAAGAAGAATCAGCCAGGCATGCGAGACATCTCCTTGTATCTCCTTTGTGCCTTTTTATTGATTTGCGAGTGTATGATTATTGATCTTGCAATAATTTTGTCACCGGTTTCTCTGCAGGCATCATTTGCATTTTATGGATGCATGTGTTTTTGGGCAAATTGGTCATCTGAAGTTCGGATCACACAGAAGTTGACTAATCGTTGCAATTGAAAACCACTGGCAGACGGCACTCAACTTGGGTAACTAGATTTTCTTTGCAATGCCCGACATTATTGTCTTCCTTGATTGGAAAATTTTGATAAGTAGAACTGTTAATATATTAGACAGAGTGCATAACTTGAGTTTAGGTATTTTGAACTAGTAGATCACTTATGTCGTTAAGTTATTATTTCTTTATTGTTTAGCTCTTCCTTGTCAAAATTCATGTGTATTAAATCATGATAGTGGCGGTAATGTGGATTATGGTGATTATTTATTTTATAAGACTAGTTGGTAATATTGTTTTCGGCCATGAATGGGGTCTTTTGGACTATGAAACCCGAGCAAAAGAACAAAGGAAAAGATGCCTCTATATTGTCATCTAGATTAAAGATGTTCCATGCTTAATTTTTTCGCGATAAAATTGTCGAGTCTTTGGTGTAGTGGTAAGATTCCTTGGGAACAAAGTATGAACAATCCTTAGGAGTAGAAAATTAAAGACTCAAAAGAAGAATATATAGCAGCTTTTCTTTGGAAGATGATTAAGAAAAGAAAAATCCCATAATGGAGTATAATGGCATATGGTTGAGGATTCGTATCAAACAGGATCACACGATACTTTGGGTTTTGAATATTGAAGACTTGGAAGAGCCTACACTCCACTGTTCTCTCCCCCGAGGAAAGTCCCTAAAACAAGTTGCCTGCACAGCCAGCATCTTCTAATCTTCTTTACCTCTCACAAGTCTGGAGGATGCGTAATGACATGGAACAGCCAATCGTAGCCTTCCCACCAAAAGCGTGGCTGGCACGGCAGTATATAAGAAAGACGGCACCACCGCTGCCTCCCATTCTTCATCATGCAGGCACTGTCGGTAGGCAATCACTTTGTCCACGTCTGAAAGCAACATGTAACTAAGATTGTGGAAGAAACATGCACTGCTTGGATAATTCATCTATTAATTTTGTTGGATCTTAAGTGTTTTAAGTCTGAATTAATAATTAGTAGAATAATCGAGTTCTTATACACTAACTTAAGTTTTCTTTGACTTCTTATATGAGGATTAAATTTAGACTATCGGTAGATAGAACTAGGGAACACGTTATAATATTGAAGCATCGCACATATATACACCATGTTAGTACTCAAATTTATAATACACTTGATTAATCCTACGTTGAAAATAGAAGAGAATTGAATAAACTTAGATGACCATCATTAATTTTGACCTTGACATTTTATTCCCTCCAGATGGATCTTTGTTATAATATGGAAGCGTCGCACACATATACCATGTTAGTACTCAAAATTCATAATACACTTCGATTAATCTTACATCGAAAATAGAAGAAGAATTGAATAGACTTAGGTGACTATCATTAATTTCGACCTAGACATTTTATCCCCTCAAGATGGATCGTCGCTATAATATGGAAGCATTGCCCACATATACCA